CGAAATTGCTGCCTTCGCTCCATAAGATGCAGACTCCCCCCCCACATTTTTTGGGGGGAAAGGTGCGTCTTATGGAGCAAAAATACGGTATTCGTGAAACTTACTCCATGTTTACTATTACCAGTGGCTTGATGGAGAGACATATTCAACTCACAGGTCCACTGGCTTTCTGCTGAACATCTTTCAAAGGCTTATTGGGTTCAGGAGTTGGGGGTGGATTCTTGCCTTCCTTTTCAGCAATGACATCATAAAGAAAAGAGGCATCTCTTAACAGAAAAAGGAAAACAGTCATTCAGCTGGGAAGGTGCTGTTGTCCTGTTTATCTACAATCAGATATTGCACTAAGTCAGCAGTGGAAAATGTTGGAGCTCTAGATCTTGCTAGGCTGCAATTCTCATCATTCTTCTCTGCTGGATATGCTGGATTGGGCTGTGAGAGTTGCAGTCCAACAATATCTGGAGGGCTAAATTAATGAATGACCCAAAGACAAGTCCTATATTACTTCAGCACTAAAATGTGCTTACTAATCTCTACTCAAATGCTCTTCTATCTTGTGCCTGAAGCAATAACCTTGGCAGTCTCTTTTGTCATCTTGATGCTTGTTAGGAATCCTTCTATGGCCATTCAACCTCTGTGAGTCCTATTACCACTGTTGCCCAAATATAATTTGCTGTCTGACATAAAGTGTCATGCCAACTTCCAGATAGCTCAGTGGTTTAGGTCTCTAGCCACAGAGCCAGAGGCTGGGAGTTTGATTCCCCACTATGCCTCCTTGGTAGATGCTGGACCCAATGATCTATAGCGTTCCTTCCAGCTCTGCAGTTCCAGGATGATGTTAATGATGATCATAGGACAAACATTCAAATAAACCTGTAATGTTTAGAGATTGAAGAAGGCTAAGGAGCCACTCTCCTGTGTCCACTTTTCGGAAGGAATAAACTACGTAGAAATATGTATAGGAATCTCTTGGCTATGGAATCCCAGTTCTGGAATTTCTCTCCCCAGAAACCCATTTAGTGCCAAACTGGCCTCATGGTGGCCCCACCATCATAGCTGAGTTCTAGGCTATGGGACTGTGGGTTTTTATTTCTATTATATTTTTTACTCCTTTCCCTTTGGCTATGCTTGAATAGTTCCAGCTTGTCTGAGCTGTGAAAGGTTGTTTTATGTTTGTTTTTAAGTAAGAATTGTGAGCCACCATGAGATATTTGGATGCACAATGGAATAAAAATATTTCAAAACAATAAATGAATCATCCTTGCATTCATCTTATTCCTCACTATCTGCCTATTCTATGCCCATTACCTCAGCCAGTTGCTTGACATATATTTTCCTATTTAAGCTAACATTTAAATTCAGCTTCTCAGACCACTCTCTTTTAACCTTGCTCTGGCCCAGTAAAATCCCAGTGCTTTTATAGGTGCCTGTCAGCCTCAGAGCTCCTAGTTAAACACACAGTGAAACAACATGTGAAAAGTGCCATTACTGTCCACCAAGTCCTCTATTATTTCCACACTATTACCTTCCAGCTCCGGTCAGGCAGATTGGATGCTGTATCAGATACCGGAACCTGTTTCTGCGAACAGAATGTTGCCAGACCCCATCAGCAGTTCGGAGGCAACCCTGAACAGCAAAGCAGAAATGAGCAGTTTGCAAGGCAGTTCTCAAAAATCAAATCAAAGACCAAGCCAACCAGCTCTTGAGCACATTCTGTTCAAAACTAAGGTCAGTAACTTGCTGACCTTCTGCTGTGTAGAAAGTCCCACCATGCAATAATACAATCACACTGACTGCGAATGTTGCTGTTGCGCAAGTGGCGATTCCCATTAAGAAAACCCAACTTCTGCTTGCACAGTGGCAACACTTGCACAGGCAAGGCAAGTTCTGTCACGTTATGATGGCAGAACATTACGCTCAATGGCAACTCATTAGGCTACCAGCCAATAAATGTTTCTATACTACACAGTTCTAGCAATTTGATACCACTGTAATTGTAATGGCTGCATTGTACAAAACCCTAGGATTTGTACTTTGGTAAGTGCTTTGGAATTTTCCGGAAGCTCTAGTCCACCTCTATGAAATGTAACCTAGAGCTTTCTAGTGAAGGATTTCAAGTAACTTGCCAAACTACAAACTCCAGGGATGGTGCAATGATGGTTAAAGTGGCATCCAACTGGTGTAACCGTTTGGTAGAGACACACTCCTGATTTCTCACACTGAGAGTCTAATTACACATATATTAAACCTTGAAAGCTGCAGGTGTGTTTTTTAAATGGAAAAGCAGTTTCACGAATGGTGATTTTGGTGAGGAGAAGCAGCTGGCAAGGAAGGAAGGATGCACACACTTCCCCCGAAACAGCTTTTGTTTAGAAAAAGAAGCAGTTGGTTAGGTTTCATTATATGCAATTGGGCCTAGCATGAAAATAGACTCCGTGAAGTTGGAGGGTTCCTGGAGTAAGAAATTCATGTTTTAACTGTAAATGCTACCTTAAGAACTAATTTTATTACAAACATAATTATTAAAATGACACAATGTAAGAAATATGCTAAAGAAATAAAAAAGAAAGGATATTTTATGTGTTTTAAACTGCTAATCATGGTTGTAAACCTGAGTGGTTTTACAGTGTTCCCCAACCCTTGTGACAATGAGCTAGAAGATACACACCATTTCAGGATAAGACAAAGGGCTATTTACTATTAGAAGCTCCCCCAACCTGCAGTCTCAATGCTCCCAAAGGCCAGTCCAGGGGAAAAGGGAGCCCTACAGAGCTCTGGAACCTAAAAGGAGGGGGACGGGAAGCTTTTAATTAATTAAAACTAAATGTTTCCAGCACCCATTCTAGGTTACACCAGCACAAGGTTATGCAATAGGATTTTGTACATTTATTGAAAGCATGTACAGTGGTGCCTCACTTAACAAGTGCTTCATTTAACAACAAATTCGCTTAGCGATGACTTCTTCGGAGCGATCTTGCGCTCCGTTTAACGATGTCCCCTATGGGCGATTTTCGCATAGCGATGTTTGGGACAATGCTTCGCATAGTGATGACAGTTTGGGTCCCCCTGTTTCACTTAACGATGGTTTTGACAGCCTCATGTTGGCTGTTTTTTTAAATGTTTAAAAATGTTTAGAATGCTTGAAATCATAAGTGCACGTAATAAACCCTTTGTTAAACTAGTTTGACTTTGTTCCGACTCTTTTTTAATTTGTTGTTGATTTTTTCCCTCCCCATTGATATGCATTAAATAGGTTTCAATGCATTTTAATTGGGGAACCACGTTTCGCTTAGCGATGTTTCCTACGGCAATTTTCGCTTAAGGACGGCAATTCGTTGCTATTGGAACCGATTATCCGGTTTTCAATGCATTTCAATGGGAAACCGTGTTTCGTTTAGCCATGTTTCCCATAGCGACGATTTTTTTGGAACCAATTAAAATCGTTAAGCGAGGCACCACTGTATACTGTTCCCTTTAGCCTAGAGGTCCCCAACCTTTTTGGAACCGTGGACTGGCTGGGGTCTGTGAGCTCCATGCATGGGGAGCAAGCTAACTAATGTGGGCTAGATAGAACAACTGTCAAGTGGATACACAGTTGGCTACAGAATCGGACTCAGAGGGTGTTAATTAATGGCTCCTTCTCCAACTGGGAGGAAGAAACAAATGGGGTACCCCAGGGCTCAGTCCTGGGCCCAGGGCTCTTTAACATTTGCATTAATGACCTGGATCAGAGGATGCAGTGAATGCTAATAAAATTTGCAGATAAGACAAAAATTAAGTGGAACAGTTAATACCCTGGAAGACAGAAACAAAATTCAAAACCATCTGGATAGACTTGAACACTGGGCTGAAAACCACAGAATGAAATTCAACAGGGATAAGTGCAAAGTACTATATTAGGTAAAAGTAACTGAAAGCACAGTGAAAAGGTGGGGGATATCTGGCTCAGCAATACTATGAGTAGGTAGGATCTTGAAGTTGTTGAAGATAACCAGCTGAATATGAGCCAGCAATGTAACGTGGCTACAAAAAAGGCAAATGCTTTTTAGGATGCATTAACAGAAGTATAGTCTTCAATACTGCAAAGTACTAGTTCCCCTCTATTTAGCACTGGTTAAGCCTCATCTTGAGTACAGTGTCCAGTTATGGACACCACAATTCAAGAAAGATGCCAACAAATTGGAAGAAGTTCAAAGAAGGGCAATAAGGATGATCCAGGGACTGGAAACTACACCCTATGAGGAAAGACTGAAAGAAGTGGACATATTTAGCCTGGAGAAAAGAAGACTGAGGTTAGATATGATAACACTTTTCAAATCCTTGAAATGATATCATACAGAGGATGGGCAGGAGCTGTTCTCGATCATCCCAAAGTGCAGGACTCCCAATAATGGATTCAAATTACAGCAAGTCAGATTTTGGTTGAGTATCAGGAAAAACTTATTAACTGTTAGGGAAGTACAGCAATGGAACCAATTACCTCAAGATCTGGTGAGTGCTTCAACACAGGAGGCTTTCAAGAGAAATTTAGACAACCTGGCAGATATCTTTTGCTTTGTATTCCTGCACTGAGCAGGGGATTGGACTTGATGGCCTCATAGGCCCCTTCCAACTTCCTTATTCTATCATTTTATGATTCTCACCCTAGTCTAAAATCAGGCCCTTACTTATTACAAGAACTTTTCTACCAGGATATAGAAGGCTGCAAGCAGCATTTTGAGACAGCCTCCTGTCTAGCAACTAACCTGTTGACCAGACCAAGATTACTTTAATATATGCCTCCACCATGCTAAGATATATCCTGTCCTTTCCACTGTCATTTTTCACTTTTTAAAATCTTCCAGTAAATTTCTAATCATAACAAAGCATCATGGTCCAGCCACTGTTACCTGTTGCAAACTGTTATTGTTCACTGAAATCTTGGTGCTACTGGCATAATTTGCAATTATATTCAAACATCTAACCAGTGGATTTTGCAATAGCTTTCTTACCAATAAAGTAAACAATCGTTCTGAAGAAGTGAAGTGACACACCTGAAAGTCTTTTGCACTTTTGGTTTTCTTCGGAGGTTTTAAAAAAGCTGGGCACGGGACTGGGTTAGCAGCAGAGGTCAAAGCAACAAAGATCTCTTCTGGGATGAAATCACACTGTAAGGATGTGGGAAGAGGCTTCAAACAATCTGCCATAGATGGCTTGCCTTTTAATTCAGGAAGTTCTAGAAAAAAAAGAAAAAGGATACAAAAGTAAATATTTTAACATAGGCCTCCCAAACTCCCAGATGTTGATGATTGACTTTCTCACATATGCATTCATGCTGAGGCTTTAAGGGCATGGTTATACTACTAAAATAAACTTGGTGAAAGCTCGAGATTTTTGAATTTGGTTAAAAGTCACATGGTAGTCATATGGTTTTTGGGTCAGTGTGTTTTCCTTTTGAGAAAACTTTAAATCCATTTTTAAATTGTGATGTATATTGGTCAAGTGGGCTGCACAGGCTTTTAAAATCATTGTATTGGAGGCTTTGTCCTGTGCTTGCCCTCACACTAGCTGCCTCTCATAACCATTAGCCACTACCACTGTGGCATTACTTTAAATTATTATTAATATTTTATTTCTTGCAATCTGGCACAATGCTACCAAAGAATGACAGAAAAAAAATTGAAACCGAGATTTCTCTGCAGCCTCTCGCTCCTTCTCTCTCTCACACACACACACACACATACACACACATACACACACACAAAAAGACAGACAGACACACACACACACACACACAATCGGAGCTGAAACTACCCAATTACATTTGTCATGTTTAAAAATTATTTTTAGCAGGTTCTGACTGTTGAGTTGTTTTTAAAATATATAATCTATTAAAGAATTAGCTTTTCTAAACTACTTTGTAGTACTCCACGGGCTGAAAAGGGATAACCAAATGTTTTCAATAAATAAATGTGTTCGAACAGACCCACAACACAATCAGTCCTATAGACATATAGCAGTGCTATTAGGAACCTAAAACACTACAGATTCAGTCAGCAAAACTCTTAAAATGAGCCACCCTGTTCCTATGTCCAACTCTACAGCATACAACAATCCCTTCTGAGACTTACCTTTATCTTCCTTGTTGACAGGCACGATGGAACAGGTATCTTTGGAGTTGTTATCTTGTTTAGAAGTAGATGGCAGCACTGGAACTTGGTCCTTGTGAAACATGCTGAAATGTTGATTTCGGTTGGTTTGCTCATTGATGTATAAATGTTTCAGAATCAAACTGTCTAGAAGAGATATACAGTAAGCCACACAAAGCGATTGTATAACTGTAATCAGTGGCATGAACCAAACCTAAACTATAGTATCTAGAAAGGTATGCTAGCACAGTAAAAGAAGTTATATGCAGTCTGCTTCATCCTACATGCATTTCTCCATTAATAATTTGGGTGAATGCTTGTAAAGAATGACTCTACTTATCAAATATCAAAGGCTATGACAGGAATATGTGGTCCTCTAGATGATGGTAGATTATTATTATTAGTTTTAGTTATATGTCGCATTTCTCCCAACAAGGGACCCAAAGCGGCTCAAAACATTAACATTCACACAATTAAAAACACAATAAGTTAAATATTAAAAGACAAATTACACAATATATGGACTAAAGTAAAATTAAAAGATTAAAACATGAAAAGATTACAATTATCTGCTAAAATGGGGTTCACGGATTCAGTTACAACTGTTAAAAGCCTGCCTGATTATAGCTCCCATAATTCTGCACCATGGGCTAAGCTTGTTAGGGACTACAGTCTACCCACTTACATTTTCCACCACTGCTCTGTAAGAAAAGAAAGCTTTGGTGCTGGACTTTATTATTTCCTTTAGGAGACAAAAAGTGAGTAACATATATATGGACATGCAAGCTCATTAACATGTAGACTACTAATTTTTTGTGCACTTGTTTGCGGGACCATGTGATGCATTAGTACTTGGCCTGAAACTTTAGACAATTGTCTAGTCTTGGAGAACTGAGCTGCCTATATGGGGTTCAAATCTGCAAGAGAAGTCTAGCCGTTGTGAGATATTTACTCCCAGTGAGTTTCCATGGCCAAGTGGCGATCTGAACCCTGTACAATCCTGGTCCATCACTCTGTCCACTACACCACAATGGGAACCACTGCTATTCTTCTGTTATTCTTAATTAACAGGGCTTGGTAACCTTCAGTTGGTTTTGATCTCAACTCTTTTCTCCTCCTAGGTGATAAGAGCGGAGGCCCAGCAACATGCAGAGCAGCATAAGCTGCTATCTTTCCACTGTTAACTCGAAAGCTTCCATACTCTCATGCCAACGTTAAGTAGGAATATACTTTTTTTTCAAAGGGGGCAATACTGGCGAACTGCCAGGAACCGGGGGTGGGGCATCTCCTCTTCTAGTAAGTCCCGACATCCCCATAAGAACATACTGTATTAACCAACCCTCGAGCAATAATTTTCGAAAACTACTCCTCCATGAAGAATAGAAACTTCACTGGAAGGATAACAAGCGTGACAGTATTACGTATTCAAAAAGGACCCTTCCGGGGAAACCCTGGCCACAGCCGCACCCGCGTCCCTGCGACGTCTGAGGCGAGGGGAGAGGCGAGGCGAATTCCCTCTTCCCGGCCGCTCGCGGTCTCCCGCCCGCAGCCGTTGCTCCGGCAACCGAGGACGCCTTCCTATTTGTCCTCCGCGGCCTTGGGCGGCACCAGCCTTTCTCCCGCCCCCCCCGCTCCCCTCGCCCCGCCTTCTGGAGCGCCCGCCGGCCCGCCCGCCTCCGGCCTCGTTCTCGCTGGCCGCTGGCTCCTGCTTCAGCCCGTGAGCTTTGCCTGTCAAGGCGCTTATTCAGAGGCTCCGAGCGGAGGTCCCAGCAGAAGCACTCAGCGTGCAGGGATGCCAAGTATGGCGTGAAGGGAGGGAGAGGTATGATGGGAGTTGTAGTCTAAAGAATCCCGAGGTTTCCAACAATATTTTCAAGTACAGAGTGACGCGCTGTATTGCTCGGATTGAAGTTGGTTTCTGAAATCCGAAAGGTCTAGGATTTTAAAGGGTATTCGAAGGAGAAAGGATTTTTCAGGGCGATTTACTGGAGACTTGGTAGCAGTTGTGATGGAACGTCAGTCTCTCTACCATCAAACACCAGTGACGCGCAATCTTTCACATTTGGGTTGCATGGATAAAGTGCAAATAGAGCATGTAGGTGTTTGTGATTAAATGTAGGATCCGAGGGTGGCCAACAGTGGATTTAAGAAAAATGCATGATCTTTCATCAAACCTGAGAGGTATTTTGTTAGTGTCATCATCAGCCATTGAAAACATACCTCGCCTCATACAGTATAGCAGTGGTCCCCAACCTTGGGCCTCCAGATGTTCTTGGACTTCAAATCCCAGAAATCCTGGCCAGAAGAGTTTATGGTGAAAGCTTCTGGGAGTTTTAGTCCAAGAACATCTGGATGCGCAAGGTTGGGGACCACTGCAGTATAGGATTGCTACATCCCAGGACACTAGCCATAGTCTTTGAGAATTGCTATGCTTATCAGCGTTTCTAGGCAGGGTTATAAATTGTATACTCAAGGAAGAAATAGATAGCTTTAAAGCTTACCTGTGTGTGTTATGTCTGCATAATGTAAGCATACCAAGAAAGACACAAGCCAAGAGGAAGGGCTAGAGAGAGGCTTGTGGGTGGAACAGGCACTTGGAGAACGTCTTTGTGGGCTGCTGATAAACCTTTCTAAAGCTTCAACTCCAGTGCAATTCCACATTTTATGTTGGAAAAAAAGCCATGCAGGATGCACGCTGTAGGGTCCTCAACACCAGATCCGAGATCACCTCATGTTCAAACACAACACCAGATCCGAGATCACCACATGTTCAAACACAAAACAAACAAAACAGCGCTGGTTTTCCAGATTTAATTGCATTCTGAGCCCATTTACTTAGATTGCCCTTGCGCCTGTTTCCATTCAGCTGGCCCTGAAGCAGTTCTGCCTTCATCGCAACCATAATTTCCCAGACCCAGCCTTGGTCTCAAATGTAGGCTCTCAAATCTCAGAATGCAGTGCAGCTGAACAATGGTCTCCATTACAAGATGTGCTATTGTCCACTCTCTCTCACTTTCTAATCTGTAATTATATGTGCCTGTTGCTCAAATGAAAGTACAGAGGCAATTAGTGTGAAAATTGTGTTTTCCAAAAACAAACAAAGCTCCAGTTTTGGGCGGCATGCAGCTGATCCTGGAATATATTTCCATGGGAAACTTTCAACAGTACCCTAATTCTGTCTCTTAAATGGCAAATCTGTCTCTCTATTTTGCCAGTATGTACAGGTGTTTTATTACAGATCCAGACAGATTTGGCATAAAGAAGTTGGATGTCCTCTCTGCATTGAATCTAAAATATAATTTTACTGCTGATGGTTTGCTGTATTTTTTCAGTGGCTCTTCCCCCCTCCTAACACAATGTCTGTGTGCTTCCACATTCCGGTATTCTCAAAAAGAAAAACTACTGGTAGAGGGTAGAGAGGTGTAAGAAACTCATTCATGGTTACAGGAAGTGATTGATCAATTTTTTCCAAAGGTGTGATAGAGAACAGGGCGTAGGCAGCTTTCTTGGTTTTTCAAGACACATGAGCACAATTGAGCAAAAGATAACAGTGAGGTGTAGTAACTCCACCAGCATGGTGAGGAAAATAGATTAGGTATAAACTATCATATAAGGGGAAAATATGAACTGTTGCGATGTGACAGATTGAATGTAAACTCTTCGCCTTTGGCCCATTGGCTAGAGGGATAGAAAGTAAAAATTGCATCGGGTATATAAGATGTGTTTACTTGGAAAACTTTTAGAGACAACACCCTGTGAGGTCGTGCTCTCTCCATGCTTGCAAACATGAAATCAACACTCGCTGTGTTCTTTCAAGTTGTGTGCTTCTTTAATGTACATAACAGTGGTGCTACTAAATATTAAGGATGCCAATAATTTTGGCCAGTGCATTTTTGGGTTTCTATGTGGGATTGTATCAGATTTGACTTTTCTTCTACTTTTTGTGTTGTTCCAAGGCAAACCAAAGAAACAAACATGTGAGTACCAAAACATTTGCAACTACAACAATTTTCTGAGAGAAGGGTTGCATTTTCTGCCAGAATTGCAAGGGTGCCAATATTTTGGTCATGACTGTGTTTACAATATCAAAGAATGCTTTACTTCAGCTCTTTTACAAAGCAATGATATTCTGCATAAGAAGAGGAGTAGCATGTTGGCGTATGTTGCTGTATTTGCTTAGGTAAAAATTCAGATATTGGAAGGTTACAATTCATTCATGGTTTGGGTGTATCTGTGTGGAATTTTCTTTGCTTACTTTTGAGGTACGTACAGCTTAAACCATTGCTTTTTTTCTAAATTGAAGTCCACCACCACCCTTCGGGAATGTGGCATTCTTCCTTAATATCACTGTGATAGGCAACAACTGGTGTGTGGGTGTGTATTAGTTCCAACAATACTTTTGGAGGCCAACAGAAGTGGATAGTAGATGAATTCGGGGCCATGGGAAAGCATGGGAAAACAATTACAGTATTGTGTTAAAAGCTTTCGATACTGGGGGAAGGCATTAATTTGTTTCCAACAATCTCAACAGCCATCTGCCCCATGGTGCAGTGGTTACATTACAGTACTGCAGTCAAGCCTCCAACCTGAGATTGACCCTGATGAATTCTGATAGGATGGCTTGCAAAGGGAGACTTTACCTCCTGTCCTAACAAACTTGATTAAAATGTTGAGATACAGAGACTTTGTTTGAGCCCACACTTCTGAGATTCTGCTGAAGAGCAGTTTTCATTAAAAATCTGTTCCCCAACATTCAGCAGATTGTAGGCTGCAGGGGAAATGGACCACATATAATCCACTTGCTGTCTTCATGCATTACAGTCACTGAAAAATCTGAATGAACAACCAGTATTTATTCTGATGTTGACATGCACTGTTGCCTTTTTATCTAATTGAATGTCAGAATTAGAGATCAGGTTATTTGTATACGAATATCCCCCCCCACAGGTGGAAATAATGAGGGTCCTGCCCCATGGGGGCGGACTGTCCACTCTTTCTCGCCGCTGACACAATGGATTAGCCACTGGCAGGAGGCGGGATGACTAGCCTCTCTGCCAGGTTGCAGAATAGCTAATCCATTGCAGACAACGAAGCAATGCAGAATGGCTAATCCATTGCAGACAACGAAGCGATAGGAAGCTTGCGTCGTCCGGCCCCAGGGAGCTGGACCTCATTATTTCAACCTGTGGGGGGCCATTTGTATACGAATACCCCCATCTCTAGTCAGAATGTATTTTGACAGAAGTTTGCTTCAGCAGGGCTCTACTTCTTAGGAGAAGTTTAATGGAAAAACAGAACATAGATGTATATGCCCAGGGGCAGTAGCTGAGTAGATATTTAATTGCAATGATCAACTGAAGCAAAATAAATAAATAAATAAATAAATAAATAAGATCAGTCACACCTTAAAGCTTCTCAGCACTTTGATTCAACAACAAAAATACTTTATGCAAAAGCAAAAGTGGAACTGAAGTTCAGACCTTAGCTGACATTACTAAAAGCTAGAGTATCTTTACCATTAACTGCTAGTGGCCTAGCCTAAGTACTTAGCAGTTCTAAGCACCAACAGCATCCATCTGCAGAGGCAATGTCCAGAATCCAGTTTTGGGGCCATGTGGGGATTTAAACAGCTCCTACCAAAGGAAGCTTTGGCACCTGTTGCTTCATCTCCGTCAGTTCTTCCCGCCGGAACCCCTGGCCCGCCCACTCTTTCAAAAGAACCCAATCACAACCTCTAAAGTACAAACAGTTCCCAGAAAAGACAATTTATTTGAAAAGTTACCAAATTTTATTCTATAGCTGAAGTTCAGGTAGTTTCCTCAACAATTGGCAGAAAAAAAGTAGAATGAATGAAAGCTGGATGGATGTCTGAGAAACAAATTCACCTTCACACAAGGGCTGAAAAATCCGCCAATGGAAGGGCTATGGTAGTGGGGTAGGAAATCCTGACACTTCAGCAAGTGACAAGTTGGATTTTAGTGCAAACATATGCCTTATTTGGAGAGTACACAAAGTATTGGTCAAAGTTCAGATAGCAAAAATTCTCTCCTCTTCCTTCTTCAAAAATGGATAATATTTTGATGATTTTTAACAGAGACAGAATAGGTATTATATTTGACTTTGGGCATATTTCAAATACTTTTCATGATAGTCAACTTATATTTTATCTTTCATCATTCAGAACAGTGACATCAATTGATGAAGTCAAATCCACATTAGATAAAGCTTCCTGTAAATAAGTGGCTGCAAGTTCAGACTCACCCAGATCACACACATTATTGTCTAATTAATATGGATTGCTCACAATGTACAATTTACACAATATGAAAATGAAAGGTAATAAACAGGCAACTGGGTTCAGTTTGTCAAACACAAACCAGAATCTTCAGTTGTGCTTCCTTTTCACATATTCTGTCTGGTGGACAGTCCATCCACATTTATGCAGCACCTTTGCAAAGAGTTCACATCCACAGACTTCTGTGCTATCAATTTCCAAGTTAATTGGCATTAAAGTCAAAATTAAAGGCAGAAATGCAAAATATAATCAGAATCATCATTAGCATCTTAAACAAGAGGTTGGGATGTGTCGGTGATAGCATTAACACACTAAATCAGAAAAAAGTACCATTTACATATTATTATGAGCAGCATGAAGGGGACGTGGTGGTGCTGCAGGCTAAACCGCAGAAGCCTGTGCTGCAGGGTCAGAAGACCAAGCAGTCGTAAGATCGAATCCACGCGACGGAGTGAGCTCCCATCGCTTTGTCCCAGCTCCTGCCAACCTAGCGATTCGAAAACATGCAAGTAGATAAATAGGGACCACCTCGGTGGGAAGGTAACAGCGTTCCGTGTCTAAGTCGCACTGGCCATGTGACCACGGAAGATTGTCTTTGGACAAAACGCTGGCTCTATGGCTTGGAAACGGGGATGAGCACCGCCCCCTAGAGTCCAACACGACTGGACAAAAATTGTCAAGGGGAACCTTTACCTTTACCTTATGAGCAGCATCAAAAATGTTTAACAGTGTAGTGACAGTGCAATGTTTTAAATTCTTAACCGTTTGGGCAGCCCAGCCATGTAGGATTTTCCCAGTTCAAGACATTTACAAATGACAGGAAGGCAGTAAGATGAAACTGAGATGAACCTATGCCCCAGTCAAATATTGAGGGCATATTTGAGGCTGCCAGTTTGTCTGGGAGCTGAAACTACAATTCTCAAATATAAAAAACACAGACACATGCCGACAGAAATACGTAAGCTCGGGAGTCTAACAATACTCCAGTTAAAGATTGTGGCCTGTGCTTCCACCATCCTTTATTCTATCAAGTGGACTGTCTGCATATTCTACTGTTTGCCATGGCCAGCACTCCTCCTCACCTTTTCTCTCTTCTATATGCCCCAGAGAGGTAGATGAGGCCCCAAGGTCTCCAGCTGCTGATGTCTAGCATAAAAAAATTCTGGACATATGTTTGGATCCAACTTGACAGTAGAAAAATTGGAATACTGTTCATTAGTGAAAAAAGATTTATTTTAGAACAACTTAAATTTGGTGTACTTTGTTCTTAACTGTTCCTTGATTTGCCATATACTGTAAAACACCAATAGATGTGTAAAACTCTAGTGTTTGGGTTTTTTTCAAATAAATCTAGCATTAATCTTTGGGAGGGTTCAGTTTGAAAACAACTTCTGTTAAATGCAGAAAGTTTTCAGGGTCCAGTTTGTAATACATACATTTTTTAAACTGAAAGCTTACACTTTACTTCAGACATCCAACTTTTAGGAAATACATTTGGTCAGAATGGCCTCCAGAGCAGGGAACAGACTTTTAGAATAAACTGTATGCCTCTTGAAGGAGAAGGTGCTATGGCTATGGGTTGGAACTGGCCCACAAATAAAACGTATCATGTGACTAATAGCCCAAAAGAACCATTATCAGGGAATGGGCAGCCATATTATGAACCAATGGAAGCATCCCTCCTGATGCAAATAGTTGTGCAGTGTCTTCTGATAAGGACCATAGTGGCAGAACCGGGCGCGGGGTGGGAGACACCCAAAACTCACAGTTTTATGACCAACATTAAGTTTGGCTTTCAGCTAGAAGAGATTACAAGAAAATCCTTTACACATTTTTTTCATTAAATGGGAATGCTGAAGCCTCTAGTGATTAGAGTACCCACTTTTATTAGAGAAATGATCCCAAAAATAAAGCTTTCAGAATCCCAGAATGCTATCTTGATCATAATGCAGCCCACAAAACTGCCAGTTATCCCTACCACACAGTGTGAAAGTTGTTCATCATCCAATGCATCTGCTGTTTAAATTTACATTTTATTATAGTACTTAATGGCTGAAATCCTGTTGCTAAATTTAATAAGTCACAGCTAGACTAGGCCCGTTGAAACAATGGAATGTACGAAAGAGCTAACTCACAAAGCCCCACTGATTCAACGGGCATGTCTAGTTGCAGCTTACTACCCTGAATTTTATATAATTTCATCTGCATTTCAGCCAATGTAATGCTCTCTAGTTTGCTCTATCAGAAGCTATAAGACAGGTGATTATTGTAGTCGTTACTGCCAACATCAAGAGACTTAAGTATCCAAATGAAGTTCCTAAAAGCCTTTCAAGTTAAGATTCTTTTATTTGAAAGAAAAAGAAGAGAATAAAGCTTCAGAACATCAATGCAAAAGTTAGGCACACCTTCCACCCTTTATCTTAAGACAATTAAAACATTCCACAAACACCTGTTGTGGTCGAAATAAAGTTAAGGACGGATAATTCAAAATCACATGCATACATCATGGTTACTTCCACAAAAGAGGATGTACACCCTCTTGCTGTTGCTCCATCCGACACTCACAAAATCACTTACAGGCCCCAAGTGAACTTGGCTGTCCAGCAAGAAATAGTAATCAAAACCCTCACATGTGCTAGAGTTTAGGAAATGTAAGAAACTGCAGAAGTATTGAGTTATCCCTTATATTTTCTATAGCATGGTCCAAATAATAGAAATCCCAGTCTCTTCCTTGAAGAGTCCTCTGGGTGTGCTTCAAGAAGGACAGATAGTTCAACTTTTGGCTCCACTGTATAATCACAATGAAGCATCAAGCAAAATAATACATACAAATACTGTGTGTCTCTCCCATTTCACAGAATGATTGTAGAGGAATGTTATATTCAGATAGGCAAGGCTATTTGAAATCACACAATACTGCCTTTTCGAGAACAGTAAAAGAAGAAAATATTAATACACAGATCAGTATTTGCAATAAGCAAAAATCTTCCCTGGAAATGCATTCACCAGCCTTTCAGTGGGTTTCATGACCAGCATGGAAATGACATGGGTTGGGGCTCCTTACAGAATGAGAACCACCTAAGCTTTCAGCAATCTTAGCTGCCTTGAGTGATAAAATGCAACTATGGGGGACTGTCAAAAGTCTGTTTTAAAAAAACATATTCTGGCCTTGACCACAGGAGAGATGCTAAGAGATTTCAGATCTTCATTTGGCAACTCCAGGAGCGTGGTTTCACATAATCCAGGAATGTGGGCTACAAAACACAAAAAGAACAACAGTGATAGACAACAAACACTGGATGCACTGTCTTCCCTATTATTTTCTTCTAAACTACCCTGTCTCAAATCACTGCATGAATAAAATTCTTCTCACCCGGTAGCAAAATGAACAAATTGCCAGTGGTGAAGACAAAGAATTTATGGGCAGGCCAAGGACACATGTCTTCTCCAGGCTAGTAGGAGTCTCCACAGGCTGACATCAGAACTAGAGGAAACTCTGTTTCCCATGGAAACTCTGAGGCTGTCTTCTCTTCGAGGGAGCCTCACCATGATCTCTAACCCTCAACTCAGTGACTCCTCCATGTCAAACACAACTACTGCTAACCTGTGTGTACATTGAGGTAGCAGTTCTATCTGGCTCCACCTGTTGTAAGGCTTCAACAGGTCTCTGCACCATAGAGGTCTCCATGAGAGGCAAATCTCTCCACCAATGCAATTTTTTTTCCTATTCTTATTAAGGATTTCAAATTCAAATATGACAAAAAGCCAAAATCAGAAGGCAAATCTTTAAAATGTGAATTTTATATAATTTCAATTTTATATTTAAATGTTGGGCTTCATATTCATGGCCCTACATAGCAGTTCAGCCCAGTTCTCCTTATTTATCATTACAGTGGGGTTACTTACATTTTTCAAAGGACAATACTGATGGGCATACCACTCCTGGCTATAAAGACACAGAATGATGCCATGGCCAAGGAAGAGTAAAGTCCACATGATCACATTCCAAATGGGGCCTTTCCGACCGTCATGGAGCACAAAGTTGAACGCTACTAAAGAGAAAAATATATACAAAATGCATCAGCTTAGGACATAAGCAGCATTCTCCCCTTCTTCCCTATTTAACAATGTGCCCATCACTTTGATACGGCACACATTGTCTTGTAGAATGGCTCTCAATGATACTCTGGAGTAAAGCAAGCAAGTCAGTAGACTCTATTTGGTGACACCACTAAAGTGTGTCCCATTACTTTGAAGCAAAGGTCTGAATGTTCAGCTAACTCAGTGGGTGACAGACTGTAGTGTTTTCAGAGAAATTAGTGAAAGACACTTCTTGCTATGAGAGAAAGTTGTGGAATCTGCCACCAGATGCTGGCAAAGGCAATGCCCAACATCAACTTGGCAGTGGAAACACTGCCCAATGGGAGGGGGGAGGACAGTCACCCGAAGAGCTCCAAAAACCTGGAAATTATTGTGATGCCTTGAGACAATAACAAACTGCATGAGTCAGAGTATTTGTACTACCTTATTAATCTACACAAAAGGCTAAAAGATATGATACTGGAAAATGGGCCCCTCATGTCGGAAGGCGTCCACCATGCTACTGAGGAAGAGCAGAGGACAAGTACAAGTAGCTCCAGAGCTAATGAAGTGGTTGGGCCAAAGCCAAAAGGATGCTGAGCTGCGGACGCACCTGGAATTGAAAGGAAAGTCTGATGCTGAAAAAAAAACTGCATAGGAACCTGGAATGTAAGATCTATGAACTTTGGTAAGCTGGATGTGGTCAAACAGGCGATGGCAAGAATAAACATTGACATCCTGGGCATCAGTGAACTAAAATGGGCAGGAATGGGCAAATTCAATTCAGATAATTATCATATCTACTATTGTGGGCAAGAATCCTGTAGAAGAAATGGAGTAGCCCTCACAGTCAACAAAACAGTGGGAAAAGCTGTACTGGGATACACTGTCAAAAATGATAGAATGACTTCAATACGAATCCAACCTTTCAACATCACAGTAATCCAAGTTTATGCACCAGCCACCAATGATGAAGAAACTGAAATCGACCAATTCTATGAAGACTTACAACACCTTCTAGAACTGACACCAAAGAAAGATGTTCTTCTCATTATAGGGGACTGGAAGGCTAAAGTAGGGAGTCAAGAGATAAAAGGAACAACAGGTAAGTTTGGCCTTGGAGTTCAAAACGAAGCAGGGCAAAGGCTAATAGAGTTTTGTCAAGAGAACAAGCTGGCCATCACAAACACTCTTTTCCAACAACACAAGAGGCGACTCTACAAATGGAAATCACCAGATGGGCAATACCGAAATCAGATTGATTATATTCTCTGCAGCCAAAGATGGAGAAGCTCAATACAGTCAGCAAAAACAAGACCTGGAGTTGATTGTGGCTCTGATCATCAGCTTCTTATAGCAAAATTCAAGCTTAAACTGAAGAAAGTAGAAAAAACCACTAGGCTAGTCAGGTATAATCTAAAGCAAATCCTTATGAATACACAGTGGAAGTGAAGAACAGATTTAAGGAACTCGATTTGGTGGACAGAGTGCCTGAAGAACTATGGGTGGAGGCTTGTAACATTGTACAGGAGGCAGCAATAAAAACCATCCCAAAGAAAAGGAAATGCAAGAAAGCAACGTAGCTGTCTAACGAGGCCTTACAAATAGCAGAGAAGACAAGGGAAACAAAATGCAAGGGAGATTGGGAAAGTTACAGAAAATTGAATGCAGACAATGAACAGTGCAAAGGAATAGGGGGAAAAAATAGAAAGGGGAAAACCAGAGATCTGTTCAAAAAAATTGGAGGTATTAAAGGAACATTTTGTGCAAAGAT